GCAGACCCTGCGTCTCCCCTCTTGCAAAAAGAGGCAGACTTTGGAGGATATCTTAGCAAGGAAGGACGTTCCGGGACACGGTCCAGGTTAATCTGAGAAAAAAAAAAAGAGAAAGAAAGAAAGAAAGGACATCCTGCTAGCGCGCCCACAGCGGGGTGTTCTCTCCTACGGTGCCTCTTGTATTGTGTGAGCTGGTGCTTAATCAGTCACATATTTCTTGGAGTGTTTTGCATGCAGGAAGGTTTGCTAATGAAAAAGGTTCACACGTGCGCATACACACATTAGATTTTATTTTATTTTTTTAAAGAAAAGGGTTGTGTAGTTCCCACACCCTCAACTCTCCACTTCTCCTTGTGTGTGAGATGAGATGGCTTTCTGAAGTATGACGGGATTTTAAATTAAAAGAGGTGCTAGTTGGTGCAAGCAATTAGAAAGGCAGCCTTTAAAACTTCGGTAGGTTCAGAGGTAAAGGGTGGTTTTGCTTTGACAGCCAAGATTTGAGAAATCTAGGCTACTTTTCCTAATGCGGAAGCTACCACGGTAGGAATCGTTCAAGATTCTGCTTCTTTTAAGTCTTTGTATAAAGCAGGCATACTTTGGGTAGTGTCTGTAGTTTACTCGTGCAGCATTTTGGAATGTTTTGACATGCATGAAAACCTTTAAGGGTGTTTTAAATTAATTGCGACCAGAACCAAACGAAAGTTAAGAGGGTGCTGCTGCCTCTGCGTTCACCTAGGTCGTGATTGAGAAGCAATTGCTAGAATTGCCCTCTTCCACTCTCCTTCTCCTAAGAGTGCAAGTGACCCTCTGTATTAAGGCAAGTGCCTGGAACCCCAGAGGGAGGAGGAAGCTGCCACAGATTGGTTTGGGCTAGCTCTACACCTGCCTTTTAGACCATTTTAATGTTAGACAGAATGGTAACATAACCTATTGTATTGGCCAGATTTTAAACCCTGGGGGAAGAATAGCACATCACTTCAGAGATAAGTGATTGGAGTTGAGAAAAATAAGACAAGTGAATTTTAAAACTAATTTTTGTAGGTAGGTCCCATGGTTTAAGGAAGTTATCTCCCTAACTTGTCTTATATATATACAGTTAATTTTTCTGGACTGGTTGCAAACGATTTCAAAGCATGAGTGTGTCAGTGTAACAGTTGTGATATAACTGCTTCTGTATGCTTTTTGAGATCAGATTGTTCTCTGCAGAAATACATGAATATGTCCTGGGAGGTTGCAAACAGCAGTGAAAGCCGAATTTGGAGGAGTGGAGAGTTTTCTTGTAAGATGTACTCTCCTTGCTATCAGAAGTCACTAAAACTTTGCACTATTGATTTTTTTTTATTTTTTTCTAATGAGTTTATAGCTTATTTATTGGTGCCTCTGGATAGAAATGATTAAAGCACACAGAAATTAGTGTTGCTGTTATGAAACACTATCTGGCCTCGAAAATTTCTGCAATTAACACTTTAGGGAAAACTAATGTTTAGGTCATGATATGTTTTAAAACTCAAGATAGGGGCTGAAGAGATGGCTCAGCAGTAAAGAGTATTTCTCGATCATGCAGAGGACTTTGTTTACCCAGTACCTGCTTCAGGCAGCTCACACTGCCTGTAACCCCAGCTCTAAAGCATTCGGCACCCTCTTTGACCCCCATGGGTACTCCCACACACAAGGCATTCACTCACAAGACACAAACATAAATAAAAATAATAAAACTCTTTCTTGATTGCCTTAATTGGGAGAGTCTTATTTTGTATTTTCCCACCCTGGAGCTGAGGACCTTAGGTGCTTAGGACCCTGGGTGCTCTAGCCCCTGAGCTAAATCCCTAACCCCATAAAAACAAACTCTAGAAAACTTTAAGGAAGTTTTTCATTTTAATGACATGCTTGTAATTGCTGAATTTATAGTTGAGGAATCCTTGCCTTTTATAGGTTAAGTGTGTGATTGGTTTTTTCTGACACAGGCATCAAACTACCCACAGTGTTCCTACAGTTGAGTAATTGCCTACAGTTGAGTAATTGCAAAGGGGAGACCTAAGAATTTTACCCCTGCATTCAGTTGAGGTTGGGTACCTGGTCTGCACCAGCTCGGAATAGGGATTGGTGGTTGCTGTGTGACCACTGGCACCAGAAACATAGCTAGATTGGTACCCTGGGTTTTTCTTTGTTTTTTCATGATAGAAAGAAAGAGACATTGTATGCAGTCATATTCCCCACATAATGAAGTAAAGTTTAGTAGCATTTTGCAGTATTTACCTTTTTAAAGAAATTAAATTACAGGTATTATTTGTATCGTTATATTCTTTTGTCTTTCTAAAAATTTTCATATTGCCATATAAACACAATACCATTACCACAAATAACAAACTCCACTGTTGGGTGCTCAGCCTGTGTTCATTTTCAAGCCATACCATTAAAATATGTTTTTTTTCTTTCTTTTTTACAGATCTTTCCATATAAATCAGAATCTAAACAAAATCTACCTATTGTCTTTAGTATAAGTCTAGTTTTATATCAAACATCCTCTTTCACCTGTGTTCATACCATTGAAGAACAGACATTTGTCCTTGACAGTGCCCTCCTCTTGGCTTTGTGTGGTTTGCTTCATAGTCCCATTCCATGTAGTCCTCGAACTCCTTGACATTCCTGTAAACTGGACATTAGGTATTGGCTCTGACACTTGGAGCAGAGCACCGTGGGTATAGAGAATAACAGACTCTTGTCATGTGAGGGTAGGTATAATGTGAGTAGTTAGTTTGATTTGATAGGTTTACATTTCACGTCTGCTAATCAGATGTGCTTTGATAATTCCGAGTTACACTTTAAATGTCTTAAGTTAAATTTCATTATTAGGAGTCTTATGGGCTATCTGTGCTGGCTAGGTATTTGTGAGCTCCCTCTGTGCTGAGCACTGGGGGGGTGCAGGGAGACTGAGCCACACGAGGTATTTCCCACTGCTTTTGGGCTCACAGTCTTTGAAGGGAATCTCACCATTGAGTAAATAATTTAAGGAGGACTTTTATTTGGTCACAGAATTGTTACTGCTTTTCTTTCAGCACACTAAGATATTTTGCCAAATTGAAAGGGGAACCTCAATGTTTTCTTTTATCAATCTTGTACTATTTTATTTGTCTGTTTTGGTGCTGGGGTAGAACCTAGGGCTTCAAATATGCTGGGCAGATATGTGCACTGCCTTTTAGTTGTCTCCCTAACCCCAGCCTATGGTTTTTAATTCCATAGGACTTAATCACATTGGGAAACATGTATCACTAGTCTCTGGAGTAATCTGACTTCCTTGAAATGCCTCTTGTCCTTGGCTCTGACCATGCTACCCCGATTCTCCTCATTGCTGCTCACCCTTTTGGAGGAGCTCAACCTGATTTTGCTCTGCCCTCAATCCTCAAAGTACTCTTTTCTCTTTTGCTCTTTCTTATGGTGGTTTGTCCCAAATCATTAATCATGGTTTTTCTCACTTCTTGAAATAGCTATAATCTACATGCTAGTGAAACAAAGAACTCAGCTACTGTATTTGGATAGCAAAGATGTACGTTTTCATTTTTGAAGAAAGTATTGGATGTTGCTTTTTCTAGACTGTAAACTTAGAAGGGAACTGTGACTTGCTCCTGTTTTCTCAGTAGCCTTTACATGGCACTGTGCTTATCTTGGACTTAAGAAAGTGAAATCCAGTTGCTGCCCAGAGTAGAAAATTAGTTTGGAAAGAATTTGCTTTTTGAGAGATGACAGTTGAAACCAAAGCTCCATGCAGTTTAGGGGAATGAGAATTGCCAGTTGCCAGTTTGTGTTTTCTTAAAAAGTGTGACAAAACACACAACTAAGTTTGCTGCTGCTAAGCCTCTGGCCCTTGTTTTTCTCCATTCACAGGTCTGTACTGTCCAGTGCCTGTGAACTCATGATGTGAAGCAGGCTGGCTTTGAAATTGTGACCTTCTAATCTCTCCCTCCCAAATGTAGTTGTAGGCTACTAGACCCAAACTTTGTTTTTTATCTTTACTTTTTTTTAAAAAAAAGATTTTATTATTTATTTTGTATGCAACATTCTGCTTCCATGTATATCTGCACACCAGAAAAGGGCATCAGATCTCATAACGGATGGTTGTGAGCCACCATGTAGTTGCTGGGAATTGAACTCAGGACCTCTGGAAGAGCAGTCAGTGCTCTTAACCTCTGAGCCATCTCTCCAGCCCTTATCTTTACTTTTTTTTAAAAGAACAATTTTGGGGGCTGCAGAGAAGTCTCATTGGTTACTAGCACTGCTCTTGAAGAGGACCCAAGTTTGGTTCCCAGCACCTACAACAGGTGCCTCATGAGCCCCTGTAACTCCAGCTTCAGGGGATCCAACACCCTCTTTGACATCCACTAACACCTGCGTGCACATGTCTGCACTTTCTCTCTCTCTCTAATACAAATAAAACTTTAAAAGAGCAACTTTAGGTTCCACAGCAAACTAAACAGTTTCCCCCAGCCCACTCATACATCTTCCATTTTAGATTAAAGATCACCTTAATTCTCCCCATCTCAGACAGTGGTTTACCAGATGAAGAATAGTGAGAACTCACATGTGATCTCATTGGGTGATAGAAGTAAGAGACACTTCTTGGAGATACTAATGAAAATGTTACTTCTTTCAGAGATGAGGTAGAAGCATACATAGCTGTGCAAATTCTTGAACTTTGCAGGAGAAAAGATTAGTAACTGTCAAAACATTGAGCCTGTTAACAGAGTGTCTGGAGAGTAATCTTTTAGGAAAAATACATTTAAAGAAGTCATTTAGTCAAGACAGATGTGGGGTAGGACTGCCAAACCACACCCCAGGCCTCAAGGTGATCACAGTTCTGGTTTATGTGTTTCCTTCAAGAGTGGCTGCTCTTATTCCGGGGTGCATCTGCCCATCTGAGTGTACATTTGGCACCATAGTGTGTAATGTTACTATAAATTTTGTTTGTTTATTGAGACAGGCTCTCACACAAGCCTAGAATGGTGTTGAACTTGTGGCAATCCTCCTGCCTCAAACTCCTACGTGCTGGTATTACAGAGAACAGCTATCATGCTAGGCCCGTGATAGCTTTTTTTCCTAGTGGGCAATTGAATCCAGTGCCTTGCACTTTCTAGACAAGGACTCACTAAGAAAGACTCAGACCCTTTAAATACTTTTAAAGCAACTGCATGATAATTTATGGTCTGGATATATTTTGATTTAACTCTGTTAAAGGGCATTGAAGTTAATTGTTCTAATCTTAAGTTGGGCCATAGTAGATATCTTTCCCCTTAGTCTGATGGATTGAAGGGAGTTATGAAGAAAAGGCTACTGGATCCTGATTGAGCACCTCTGGTTATTCAGACACTCAGTGTTTATTTTCTGGTCCCTGTTGTTTGGGACCAGCCAAAAGTCCATTGTTTTATAGAGGATTAGAATGACATTTGCTGCTTACTCTTTGGGGTTAATGGAGAAAATTCTGGAAGCAAGAACTTGGCTAAATCACCCTTTTTCTCCCCCTTTAGTTCTTGAAATCATGAATCCTGTTTATAGCCCTGGGTCTTCTGGGGTTCCCTATGCAAATGCCAAAGGAATTGGATATCCAGGTAAGCAAGTTGAATTTTGTTTTTATTATTGGACATTAAACACTTTTTGTCCATGTAGCATAAACATTTATGGTGGATGTGCTGGCTAATTTTATGTCAGCTAGATGCAAGCTAGAGTCATTTGGGAAGAGGGACCCTCAATAGCAAAAATGCCCCCACCAGATTGCCTGTGGGGCTTTTTCTTGATTAATGGTTACTGTGGGCAGTGCCACCCCATCCCAGGCTGTCTAAGAAAGCAAGCTGAGCAAGCCATGGGAAGCAAACCAGTAAGCAGTGTTATGCCATGACTATTGCTTCAGTTCCCTCCCTGACTTCCCCTCATGCTGGACTATAAGCTGTAAGATGAAATAAACCCTTTCCAGCTCTAAATTGCTCTCGGACATGGTGTTTTATCACAGGAATGGGAACCATAAGACAGTGGGCAAACCTAAGAGTTGAAGGGAGGGATGGAAGGAAGAAGATAGATGAGAGAGAAAAGTCAAGAGATGTCTGGCTCTGGCCTTGCACAGAGCTGGTAGCTCCTGTCGGTGGGGCCAAGACCTTCTTTCTCTACCTCCCAGTCCATCTCACTTCCTCAGTATTTGTGAGGTTCAGCCCCTTTGAGTAGGAGCCTCATGGTCTCTGCCATATAGGAAAGCCCAGTGTGGTTTCACAGTTCCTGTTCACACCTTTCATGGGGCTTGTCCTGGTTGAACATGACTTCCATCTCCCTGTGTGTGTGTGTGTGGGGGGGGTCCTATTGAGTAACTTAAGGAATGTACTCCATCCTCACTTTAATGAATGGAGTCAGTCAGAGCTGAGCTGAGGGAGGCCATAAAGCAAAACATCGGGGAACTGGGACTTTGGCCAAAAATGCAGATGGTTGTCCTAATTGGTGACTAAACAAGAAGTAGTTATTTGTGTGTTACAGTTTCATTGTGGGTCCTTCCCCTTTGAGTACAGAGGATGGAACCCAGAGCCTCATGTATGCTATGTAACTGCTGCTGCACACTGTGTTTTTGCCCCTTTTGTATTTTTGAGACAGGGATTTGCTAAGTTATTTAGGCTGGCCTTGAATGACTTTGCAAATCTCTGTGTCTCAGCCTCTGAAGTGGCTGGTGTTGCAGGCTTGTCATGCCCAGCTTTCATTCTGAGGTTTGAAATACTTTGACTGGGGACAACCATGTTGGGACAAAACTCTAAGAAAATGGAATAAAGCTGAACTTGTAAGGGGTAGAGAAGTGTTCAGCCAGATTTGAAAGTGATGATAGCCCAGCTCGCTCGATCATGGAGTTGTTGATACTGTGTCTGCACTGGAGCATTTGCTGCTGTTTGTGGAATTCTAGCAGCCCAATGGGGACAGAACAGGATGCTTAGAATCTCCTGTGTGCTGGGAGTTTGAGTCGCTGGGCTTTCTCCTCAATCGATCTCTCTTTAGAGTGGTCCTCCCACCAAAGGGGTGGAGAGAGTCTGTTTGCTGGCTCCACGGAGAAGCTTGTGTGTCTGCAAGGTCTCTGAGAAGAGCAGTGTTTGTAGACATTCTGGGACATTGAAGCTTTAGTTCATATTACTTAAACTTACTAGTGGGGGCATCCAGAAGTTGAAGCCACCCAATAAACTCACCCTGCTGTGTTATCCCTGGAGTACCTGACAGCAGCAAATGCAGAATTCCTGCAGAAAGTATTACCTGCTCATATGCAAAATTATTACACAACACGGATGCTATTAGGAAAAGCCACCGATCAGAATAACTACCTTATTGGAACCAGCAGGTAGAAGCCATGTCACAAGAAAGTTTAGAATGCTTGCACAACAGCCAAATTTCTAAGTGAAGAACAAGATGGAGTGTGATTAAGGGGAGAGAAACAAGTGAAACTAAAAGAAATGGGGTTCAGGGTTGTTAGTCCAGTGAGAGCTAGAATAATTTGAACACAGAACACTGCTGAGATTGAATCAAAGTGTAATATAAGTAAAAGGCTAGAGGAACTAGACTGACCAATTAAGAACTTTGAAGATGCAGGGTGTTGGTGGCACATGCCTTTAATCCCAGCACTTGGAAGGCAGAGGCAGGCAGATCTCTGTGAATTCGAGGCCAGCCTGGTCTCAAGGATAGGCTCCAAAGCTACACAGAGAAACCCTGTCTCGAAAAACCAAAAAAAAAAAAAAAAAAAACCTTTGAAGACTAGAGAGAGAGGTGGCTCAGTATGGACCTGAGTTAGAGTCCCATATCAGACAGCTCACAATTGCTCTGCCTCCAGCTGCAGGAGAGCTGATGCCCTCTTCTGACTCCCCTTAGTTGCCTACTTGTACCTGTGCATATTCTAATGCACACACAAACACGTGTTTTTTTGTTGTTGTTGTTGTTGTTGTTTTTTGTTTTTTTTGTTTGTTTGGTTTGTTTTTTGATAAAGTAAGGAAATAGACTGATTAAGAACTGTGGGAATAACACATCAGAAGGATTTAGAGAAATTAGAAGAAAGTGATAATTTTCCAGAGTTGATGAAAAGCAATTTGGTGATAGACCTACTGCTTCTAAAGTGTTAACACTGGTTTAAAGGGAGTAGCTGAAGAGGGTCATGAATGATTCTGGAGCCAGAGCAATAACCAGACACCCATGATATTAGTTTACCTGGTAGTCTTCGCCTAGGACTTGAATTCTCTGCTCATTAGGCTGGCCAGGCTGTGGGTGCTGAGAGGCGCTAACTTTGTTTCTGCCTCTCCGTGCAGGCAGGGGTTGGCACACCCTGTGCTGAGATCCAAGTTGAGGCTCTGTGGGTGTGCTTCATCACAAGGCAGCTCTGACAAACCCTTGGTGTATCTGATGGTCCTTTGGCTGTCTCTTACTGACCAGTCCTCCGTCAGAGGAATTTTAGAGTAAACCATTATTTTAGGTGTTTTGTTTTTGTTTTGTTTTTTATTTATTTTTTATTGAGAGAGTATCTGTAACTCTGAAGCAACCTTAAGTGTCATTTATGTAATGTTTTATATACTTTAGTTACCTTCTATGTATTTTTGATTTGGCTATTTTAAAGTCTCCCTGGGGATACTGGGTCCTAGTAGCCAGAGCGTCAAGATGTGTGGCTTTTGTGCTCATAGAATCTTAGGCTAGCACAAAGGTTGATGGGACATGGAGGGAAGTCTTCCTCCAAATGCTGTCTTGTGTAATGACTATTGGTGTTGATTATTGTCATTTCTTCATTTGTTTGGTTTTAATTTTTTTCTTTTTCTTCTTTTTTGTTTGTTTTATTTTTTTAAAGATTTTATTTATTTATTATGCATACAACATTCTGCTTCCATGTGTATCTGCACACCAGAAGAGGGCACCAGATTTCATAACGGATGGTTGTGAGCTACCATGTGGTTGCTGGGAATTGAACTCAGGACCTCTGGAAGAGCAGTCAGTGCTCTTAACCTCTGAGCCATCCCTCCAGCCCCATGTTTGTTTTATTTTTGAGATAGGATTTCTCTGTGTAGCTTCAGAGTCTGTCCTGGAACTCTCTCTCTGTAGACCAGGCTGGACTTGAACTCACAGAAATCCATCCATCTGCCTCTGCCCTCCAAGTGCTGGAATTAAGGGCGTGTGCCACCACCACCCAGTTCTGGTTTTAATTTTATTTTATGTGTTCAATACAGGCAATAGTCAGAAGTGGAATATAATGTCAGGTTCTCTGACTTTGAGCCACCATGTAGGTGCTGGGACTTGGACTTGGGTTCTCTGTAAGAGCAATATCTCCAGCCCATTTCCTCATTTATAACCCATGGTTTTCTTTATTTCCATTTATTCCTGACCATGTTTTTAAAGGAATTTATTATACTTATTTATTGTGTCTTATATTCGTGTGCCATGGTGTGCCTGGGGAGGTCAGGGAGCAACTTAAGGGAACCAGTTCTTTCCATCTACCATGTGGATCCCAGTGACCCAACACAGGTTGTTAGGTTTGGCAACAAGTTCTTTAACCTACTGAACTTTCTTGCTTGCCTTGCCATGGCTTTTGTGTGTTTTTTATTTTGTTTTTATCTGGGCGGGGGGGGGGGGGGGGGGAAGAGAAACACATGTTCTTGCCATCTTTTGGACTAAGGAAACTTTTATAAATCTTCTATTAGCTTTTATACTTTTTTTTTTGCCACACAGTGTTTGATCATATTACCCAGGCTGGCCTCTAACAGTCAGCCCTCTTTTGGACAGTAATTACAGGTGTGAGACATGTCCAGCTAAGAAAATGTCATCACATTTTTTGTACTGTGCCTATATATGCTATTGTTCATCTTAAGGTGAACTGGTTTTGTTGTTGGCTGTATTTTGTTAGTTTGTTTTGAGACAGAGTTTCTCTTTGTAGCCCTGGCTGTCCTAGAACTTGCTTTGTAGACCAGGGTGGCTTCAAACTCAGAAAACAGCCTGCCTCTGTCTACTGAGGGCTAGGATTAAAGGCGTACGCCAACATATTTCTGAAATATGTCATTTAAAATTTAAAAACAAAGGTCTTTCCTGCAGTTTGTGGCTGAATTTGTGTGTGGTATGTGTGGTGATGTGGTGTGGATAGATTGGTGGGGTGTGTGTGTAGAGTTGAGAAATGTGGTATGGATGTGTGTGGTGGGGGTGTGGTCATGTCTGTTTTGCTTCTATTTTAGTGATGTAATTTTGTTTCCTATAATGTCTGTTAATTATCACAAACTTTGTATCTTGAAACAATAGAAATTTATGTCTTCATGTTCTCAGAATCCAGAAGTCTGAGATTAAGGCACTAGCATAGCTATTTTTCCTTTGGGAGCTCTAATGAGAGTCCACTTGAGCTTGTCCCCTTCTGACTGTCCCTCCATTTTTGCCTTTGCTCACATGCTCTCTTCCTTTTCTGTGTGTTTTAGTAAGAATGTTTACCATTGAATTCAGGGCCTAGTCATATCTTTGGCCTTTTTCAATATAAGGTCATAGTCATAAGATTCCGTGGATCTGATGATCTTTGGGGAAAAAACCCCCCTCCTTTTTTTTATCTCTAACATTGAATATGTTGGCAATTACTTTCTTCTTCCCTGTGTAGCCTCTCTATGCCAAGGAGGTAGAGCTGATGTTGAAGGAGACAAGCCTTGGTAACAACTGGAGGACCTTTTCAGGAAGAGCATTAGGATTATAAGGAAACAGAATTGCCAAGCCTTGCTGCTTGGGAGCCTGCAGACTAGATGTTAAGAGTAAGGGTCTGGTCTACTGTAATTCTGCAGCCAGCTGAGGCAAAATGCAGGGGAAGGTCTTACAAAGCTGCTGCCCTGGGCTTTGTGCTGCCTGGTAGGTGGGCTGTGTTCAGTTTAGGTTGGGTAGAGCGAGTCCCAGGTGGCTGAAGGGATGGGTATAGAAGCAGTATGGCTCCTCAGGAGATGGAGAGAGGATGTTGATGCTCACAGACCAGGTGTGTCACGAGACAGTCCATTAGACTAAGTGCCATTGGTGTGTTTTCTGTTTAATTTCAGAGTCTGCACACTGTTAGAAGGTTGGGATGGACTCTCTGGAGCAGAGGGTTTCCTGAAGGGTTATGAGGGAGGCATGATAGAATTTTGATTTTTGTGGCAGTTATCGAAGAGGACTGTGGAATATGATCTAGCAAGTGATATTTCTGACTTGTCAAAATAAATCATTAAGTTTTTCCCCCAACTGATTGTCTGGTACCTGAGCACTGTCCTGTAGGTGAATGGATCCTGCTTGACCTGGCTTGCTTTGGGCCTATAATGGCTCTCAGGGTTGGTCCACAGGACATTTTGTGAAAATCACTGCCCTTGATGTTCTCTGCCTCTAGTTTTCGCCTAGCCCTGAATGTCTTCATTCGGAGCTTCCCTGAGGGGTTATACACCTGCCTTTAGACCCAGCACTTGGGAGGTACAGGCAAGGATCACAGCTTCAAGGTCATTCTCAGTTAACATAGTGAGTTTGAGGACAGCCTGGACTCCATGAAACCATGTCTCACAAAACAAACAAACAAAAAAGCCAAACAACAACAAAGCCCTCCATCTTGAATGCCCTTGGTGACACCTTTGGACTACCTCAGCACAGTCTTGGTAGGAAAGAGAAGCACAGCTCCTCACAAGCAGTAGTGGTAGTTAGTAGTCAAGGCTTGGGTATGCTGGGTCCTTTGCTCAGAGGTTGTGAAGGCTTTTTGCTGTCCTATTCTCCTGCTGCCAGGTAATGCAGAAGGGAGTCACAAGGAATCCCAGACTCTGAGGAGGGCTAGGTGGGTGTGTGAGGCTCCCTCTCCTGGTGGACACCACAAGGGCAGGATTCTGTTAAACATCTTACTTAATGTATCTGTGTGATTGTGTTTGTGGCTGGGGGTTAGTCTGACTAAAGACTTGGTTGTATTTAAAGTCACTTTAGGTGCTAGAGACACGGCTCAGGTTAAAAGCGCTTGCTGCTGCTCTTGGGGAGAACCATGTTCTGTTCTTAGCACTCAAGTAGTAGCTTACAACTGTTTATAATGTCTGCTAGCACCAGGAGTTTGACACCAACTTCTCACCTCCAAGGGCTCCTGTACTCACATGGTACACATACAGACAAGCAGGCACAGATGAATATGTGAAAAAAATATTGAAATTTTATTTATTATGTATACAGTGTTCCGCCTGCATATATCCCTGCACACCAGAAGAAGGCACCAGATCTCATTACAGATGGTTGTGAGCCACCATGTGGTTGCTGGGAATTGAACTCAGGACCTCTGGAAGAGCAGTCAATGCTCTTAACCTCTGAGCTATCTCTCCAGCCCGCATATGTGAAAATTTAAAAATTAAAAAGTACTCTTCGGCAGGGTATGTGGGTACATGCCTGTAAGTACCAACACTCCATAGGCAGTGACCGGAGGCTCCTGTCTCTAAGAAAGAAAACAGCTGATCTTGCTTCTGTATGAATTCTGATTGAGCTTTCCTATTCTGGGCATCTTTGAGGTTAATTGGAGCCCCTTTAGGTAGAAGACTGGAGTATATTGATATTGGCAACTTGGACTCTTAACTGGCCACCTTGAACTGAGGGAGCTGGGAATTAGAACTTCAGAAATGTGAAGACCTCCGAAATGAATTTGAGCAAGAACAAACATTCCTAGCTATTAAATACAATAGTGTAACTCTGTCTTTGCAGTCACTGAGAATGTGTGGCCTTAAAACACCTACTCCTGTATCAACAAAAAGTAGGCTCTAGGTCCAAACTCACTTTGAATTCTCGTTCTTTGTGCAATGAAGCCAGGTAGCGATAATGACTTAGTGCATGATGCTGAGTGTTCTTGCTGACGTACAAATGATGTGATTCTGTGGTAAAATTGCCAGGGATGTTGGGATTTTTAGACTCCATCTTGGATTCTTCTCCCTTCTTCCCTTCTTCCTTTCTTTCCTTATCCTAAAAATTATGACTTAGCTGTTCAGCTATTCTTTTTTAATCCAGACAGGGTCATGCTATGTGTAGCCCTCATTGATCTGGGACTCAGCTACTTACCTGCCTCCCAAGTGCTAGGATTAAAGATGTGTACCACCATACCTGGCTTTGCTTGTCTGTTCTTATATAGGTTGTTTTGGCCCTGGGATTGAACTTAGGGCCTTGCAAAATCTAAGTGTGTACTCTACACTAAGTTGCACACCTGCCCTTTGATTCAGCCATTCTGGACAGTGGACTGCTAACTCAAATTTTCACCTGATTTTTTTTTTTTTTTTTTTTTTTTTTTTTTTTTTTTTTAAAATGGGGCATTTAAATTTTTGGGGAGCATTTAATTATGTGAGCATCTAATGTACTGGGTTACATTTGTGACTCATCAAAATTCTGAGAAAAAGTGATAACTAGAGACAGTTTTGTTTGAGCACAGTGTATGAAGTTCTAGAAGCAGTGATAAGGAGGCCTGGTCTTCGGGTGGCTGCACTTCTTCACTGATAATGCTGTTGTGCTGTATGTTTTCCTGCAGCTGGTTTTCCTGTGGGCTATGCAGCAGCTCCTGCCTATTCTCCTAACATGTACCCTGGAGCAAATCCTACCTTCCAAACAGGTATGTACTGCATGACAGATATCTTGGGATAGCTGGGGGAGGAGGTGTCGAATTAGGATTTGTGGTTGGCTGGCTTTCTACATTCATAAATGAACCTGTCGATGAGTTTAATCAAAACTTAGTTCTGAGTGCACATAAGCTCTGCTTTACTGAGTTTCTCAGTGCCTCCCATCACAGTCTCTGGGCTTTATGGGTAATTCCTTTTGCCCATACCTGTTCTTAGGATAGGACTTAATGCTAGGAACTGAAGACCATTTTGTCATTGAGTTCTGTCCATTGAGTGTTGTGGGTATATTTTAAAAAGCAAACTTTGTTGTCTAAATATAGTGTTTGAGAACATTTTCAGATTTGAGAAATTGCTGGTTAAAATTGAAAATGTGTTTGTTTGACTCTGAATTTCATAAAGATAGTTTAGTAAGATTCTTTTCCTACACCCTCTGGTGTGAGCTGTCAGCTTCTCTTGGGCTTTACTTACTCAGGAGAGTGTGATTCCTTTGCGGGTTTTGGCTCGTGCTTTGACATAGAGCTAAGCTTAACCCATGGGAGATGTCTGGCAAGGCTGCTGGGAATAAACTAGCAGTGCCCTTCCTGTGAATTCCTTACTTGTGACTCATCAAGTTTGCCCTTTTACCCATCTCTTCTATGCCCAGCCTGACTGCCTTTCTTAGCTCAGACCCAGAGAAAAATTTGGACATGGTGTTTCTGCTTCAGTGGTTTTTGTCCTAGGTTCATGTTCCTGCTCACTTAAGTCATGTGAGTGTACATGGCAATGTGCCCAGAAGAAGTTTAATGGTTTCCTATCTCTGGGAGACAAGAGTCTCTGCTTGAACCTCCTAGCTCTTTCCCATAGTGGCTTCCCTCTCTCTCCACAAAGCTCCTCATCTTGTGAGTTTTGTCTGGTTCCTTTTCACACACTTGGTCTCCTGTGCCTGCCATTAGACTGCTGTGAAACCTCTTCAGCAGCTGTTCCACAATGTTACTCAGCAAGGGTGCCAACAGTTGTGCCACCCTGTTCCTTTTGGTAAGGCACTTTACATTCTGTAGCTTCCTTTCAAACAGTGCTCTTGTGTATATACTATAACAAACTGCGCATACTTGAGAGGGCGATTCATCATTTTTGCTGTGAAATGTACCTCTATCACAGTTGGTAGTGAACATACCTGTTTGGGCAAATTTTGTTCTGTCATTTCAACTTTACTGGGCACCAAAGACTCACAGATATGTTTTCTCTTATTATATTTTCTAAATTTTTTGTGTAAATGGAATCACTTAGAATGTACTTGGTCATTGTGGGACTGGCGTCTTTTACTGGGTCTAAGTACTTGGACTGTCCTGTTGAACAGCATCTCTTCTGTTGCTAGGTTGTGCCCATTGTTTGAGCTTATCTGTTGACTAGCTACAGGCATTTGTGCTATTTGAGTCTGGGTGTTTGCATATAAAATTCATTTTGCAAATTTTCTGGATGTTTTTAGCATAAGTCTGTAGATATGTATGCTTTTTGTTTGTTTGGTTGGTTTTTTTGTTTTTGTTTTTGTTTTGTTGTTGTTGTTGTTGAGTAAATGCAAAGGGATGAAGTAGCTGACTCTTAGGGCAAGTAAGAAACTACGTCTCCCAGAGTGACTGCTATCTATGTTCCTCTCAGTTATGTATTTATTAGTTCTAGGCCTCTGTGTCATTTGTAGCTCTGGTCTTTTCTATACTGGCTGTACTATTGACTATCTAGTGATTTACAATTACAGTTTTGTTTTGAACTGCCATGACAGTAACATTGATCTTTTCATATGTTTATTTACCATTTGACTGACTTTGGTAAAGAGTTGTACTTCTGGGCCTGGTCTCCCAGATACTCTGGGGGCTGATGCAGGAGGATCATAAGTTCAAGGCCTGTCTGTGCTACAGAGTGAGTTCAAGGCTAGCCTGCACAACTTAGACTCGGTTTCATATAAAAAGTGAATGAGGGGCTGGAGATGGAGAGATGGTTCAATGGTTGAGAGCAGTTGTTAACATTGCAAATTTTAGGTCCTAATACCCATTTGAGGCAGCTCACAACTACCTATAACTGCAGCTCCAGGGGATCTGACACTAATCTGCACACACGGGTGCAGACATACAACACACAATTAAAAATAAATTAATCTTTAATTAGAAAAGTAGGACGAGAGCTTTGGGTGAACTCAGTGACGGAGCATTTGGCAGCTTGTGCAAGCACCTGGGTTCAGTCCCTGCTAGCACCACTCCAAAAGGAGAGAAATTATATGTATCTTTACAGTGTCAGCTACTAAGTTTGTTTTTTAAGGCAGTTAGCAATTTTATTTGTACAGGTTTTGTTCGAAGATTTCTTTTTTCTGTATGAGCGTTTGTTTACATGTATGTATATCCACCACATGCATGTCAAGTACCTGCAAAGGCCAGAAGAGACTGATGGATGGTTCCCCTGAGTACGTGTTGTAAACCAAACCTGGGTCCTGTACAAGAGTAGCAAGTGCTCTTAACTTCTTAGGCATCTTTCCAGCCCACTTTTGTTTTGTTTTTAAAAAGATTTTTAAGTGTGCGTGTTCTTGTGTGAGTTTCCAGAAGCCAGAGAGAACATCAGATCCCTGGATCAGGAGTTAATGGGCAGTTGTGAGCTACCTAATATGGGTGCTGGGAACTGAACCCAGGTTTTGTGCAAGAGCAGTATACGTTTTTAATCACTGAGCCATCTCTCCAGTGCATGTCTCTCCCCACTCTCCCCACACAGGGTGTCTTGAACTCCTGAGTAGCTGAAGGTGAAATACACTACTCACCTCCTTAGAGACGAGTTTGTTCTGTTGCTGGGTTTTTAGTTTTTGTTTTTTTTTTTTTTTAATCAGATTCATGATGACAGGTTTTTCTCCTAGTTTTTTTCTCCTGCATGTCTTTCACAGAGCAGAAGTTTTAAAAATTTGATGAGGTTATCATTCTGTTCTTTTTTGGATTACATTTCTGGTATCCTGAAGATCTGTCCCAAATAATGATTTCTTGCTTTTTTTTTCTCCCCCAGCAGTTTTAGCTGGTACATTTGGGGCTAATTGCATATAGCACTCGGTTAGATTGAAATGCATTTTTGTGCATTAGTGCTTCCTGCACTCATTTGTACTTACCTCTTTACTTAACACCAGTTTTCTTCCTAGAGTACAAACCCATGTGAAAAGGACTAAAGACTTTCAACTCATTTTCGTAATTTTCCAAAGAGTTCCAAAAGCAAGGGTTTGTGGGGGACAAATGATAGCTACTTTTCCTCAGCTCTTCTGCTAGAGAGAAGAGTCCTTTCTCGTCCTCTTTTCAAGACTGCTCTCAGATGGGTCCTTGAGTGCAGAAGCAGGAGCAGCAGCGACCCAGGCTGCTGCCTTGGAAGCCTCTGTTGAAGAGTGCCAGGCCCCTTGGCTGCCAGTCTCTTTAGTTGTGCTTTTGTTTGCAAGAGGCTTGGGATAAAGATGCTTGTGTGGAATTTATGAAGATAGGGGGACTTTGAAGGCCTTTCTGTCTCACCATGCTGTTGGCACCTGATGTAAATTGAGCTGTGTGCTCCTCCTTTATGGGTTTTTGAAATGCCCTCTCCTTTAGAGGACCCAGGCTACCTCATCACTGTACACACAATAAGAAGGGAAGTTTTTATGAGTTTTACTGCTTTCTTGATTGTTCTAGCATAGAGGCACAGGTCTGCAGGGCTTCCTGGGCACCTTTGCAATGCTATGGTTCTTTTTATTTTTTTCAAATAAAAAGACATGTGTATGTCTCTATGTGCTGTGTGCATGCTTGGTGTCTGAAGAGGCCAGGGAAAGGCATCAGAGCCCTGGGAACTGGATGGAGCACAGGTGGTTGTGAGCTGCCATGTGGATGCTGGGGCTGAACCTGAGTCCTGTGCAAGAGCAGTGAGTGCTCATAACCCTGAGCCACCCCTTTTTCTTAGTCCACTTGGGTGTCACAGGAGTCTGAAAACTTTGGGATTTGTGGTGGCTTGTGGTGATGTATTCTGTTTCATGGTCTGGAAGTAGAGGAGATCCATTTATTTTGGACAATCATAGGCTGCAGACAGATAAATCTGGAGTGGGCCTTCCTATAACTGCAGCTCCAGGGGATCTGACACTAATCTGCACACACGGGTGCAGACATACAACACACAATTAAAAATAAATTAATCTTTAATTAGAAAAGTAGGACGAGAGCTTTGGGTGTGCTTTTGTTTGCAAGAGGCTTGGGATAAAGATGCTTGTGTGGAATTTATGAAGATAGGGGGACTTTGAAGGCCTTTCTGTCTCACCATGCTGTTGGCACCTGATGTAAATTGAGCTGTGTGCTCCTCCTTTATGGGTTTTTGAAATGCCCTCTCCTTTAGAGGACCCAGGCTACCTCATCACTGTACACACAATAAGAAGGGAAGTTTTTATGAGTTTTACTGCTTTCTTGATTGTTCTAGCATAGAGGCACAGGTCTGCAGGGCTGATAATCTCCTTAGGAACTGAGCTAGTGAAGCTTAACTCCTGGTGGGGACACTGGGAACTACAGTTACATCCCTGGTGGAACTTAGGCCGAATCATGAGAGCATCATGATCAGACTTTGGGCAGGCAAGACACTTAGTACATTCAGGTCCTCTTGGTCCTGGTCCCACTGAATGGCTCAGGTGCATTAATGATCTGAAAGCCTCAGGAAAAAGTTACTGATAGTGCTTATTGTATAGCCCTCGATGGCCTGGGATTCACTATGTAAGACAGGACAGTATCAAACTCACAGGAATCCTCCTGCCTCTGCCTCTTCTGTATTGGGATCAAAGGTGTGAGCCACCATGCCCTGTCAAAGCATGTTTTTAAAAGGTGAACTTAATGCTGAGAGATAGATACACTAACACAGTTATTAGTCAGGCAGACAAAAGTACAAAGGCATCTTACAGCAAGGTATCACTGTGTTTGATACCATTGTTTGTTTATGAAGGTGCTTAGCAATAAATGAAAATATAATGCAATATAGGCTTTTTTGGTTTTTTTTTTTTTTTTTTGTTTTTTTTTTTTTTTTTTTTTTTTTTTTTGGTTTTTTTGGTTTTTCTCTGAGTAGCCCTGGAACTCACTCTGTGAACTAGGCTGGTTTTGAACTCACAGAAACCCACCTGCTTCTGCCTCTACTGGGATTAAAGACGTATGCCACCAACACCTGGCTTTTTTCTTTTTAAATTCAGAATTATGTCTCTGAAGTGAGATTCCAGGTTCGTTTAAACAGTAAGTTCATTGTATGGCCAGCTACATAAAAGGAAATAGCATTAGAGTGTTAATAGACTGTGGGGTTATAGAGTCTTTGTCTCTCAAAAGTATATATGAACAGATTCTTGTGATATCTATACTCTTAGAAAGTTTTTTAAAAATTAAAGCAAGGGGCTGTTGGTGTGACTTAGTTGATAGAGTGCTTACATAGTGTGTACAGTCCCCAGACTACAGAAAGTCAGAATGGTGGCTCATTGGAGCTAGAGGTAGGAGGATGGGAAATTTGGGGTAGTCTTCTGCTATAGAGTGAATTCAAGGTCTTCCTGGGCTGTGTGACATTGCCTCAGGAAGGAGGGAGGGAAGGAGTTTGCTACCACCATGTTTAAATGCCTGTCTATCCTGACCCCATTGCACTCCTACTGCTTTGATTTTGTTGTAGCTCTTCCTGTGTTCCCAGGTTATTGACTTGACTGTCAGTGTTACTGTTTAGTTCTTATGGACTTGTTGCTTTGGGTGACAAGGATTTAGTTGTTCTTTTACTTGCCTGCCCTGCCCTTACTGTGGTCCTGCCATGTATATTCGGTGGTTCTTCTTCTGTGTCTACTTTTCCTTCCTGGTGCCTCTCGGGCTTAATAGGACTTTTGAGATCTCTACTTGTCAGGACTCTTGGTGGTGTTTCTGGCCTATGGGCTGTCCTGGTACTCTCCTTCCTGGGGCTCCTTTGGAAAGCCTCACTCACACTGCAGCCTGAGTCCTAGTCTGGAGCACTCTTCTGCAGAAGCTTGGGGCTTTTGCCTTACTTTCCAATTCAGTGCTTGCTCTCTTTGTAGTTCCTACTTTGCTTTTGTGCAGTAGTTCCTTCAGTAACTTCCCAAGAGATTGTGAGGGAGTCATGTTTTAAACACCCTATATACCCCACCTCCCAATAGTTCTCTGTAGAGTGACTTATGGACTAACAGCCATTGCTCCTAGGATTGTGAAGGCATCACACTGAGAAATGGCCAATAGTTTTGTATATTTGGAATGAGGTTCTACTTAATGCTACATATTGAATCTGTTTATGAAGTTCTATTTACATCTTTTACCTCCTTTAAATCTGTAACAGCTTGCCTAACCTTAAAAAAAAAACCTTGTCTTTTTTTAAAAAATGATTTTTTGTTTGTTTTTGTTTGCAGTGCTGGAGATTGAACCCAGGGTCTTGCACATGTTAGGCAAGTGCTCTATCTGAGCTATGTTCTTGGCCCTTTGTGTTTTGTTTGTTTGTTTGTTTGCCTTTAAGATTTAAACACTCATGTGTATGAGTGTTTGCCTGCATGTATGTGTGTGCACCATGTGTGTGCCCAGTGCCAGAGAACGCCAGAGGAGAGTGTCAGATCCCCTGGAACTGGAGTTACAGATATTTGTGAGCTGCCATGTGAGTGCTGGGAACTGAACCCAAGTCCTGTAAGAGTAGCCAGTGCTCTTAACTTGAGCACTCTCTCCAGCCCATACTGTATGTGTTGAATTGGAGTTGAACTGTGTAGCCTAGGCTGAATTCTTTATCCTCTTGCCTCAGCTTCCTGAGTGCTGAGAGTCTAGGTGTGGTGTCACACCTCCTTAGAGAGTTTTCATTAGAAACAATTTCAGGAGCATACCCACGCCTGGGAGTGTAGTCCCTACTTCCCTAATCACTTTGCTTTGGTTGCTTCCAGCTCAGAGTTGGTACTTCATCTATACTGCCATCACTTTTCCTGTTATTTTGAAGCAACTCTCATATATCATGTTGATGGTTTTTAGAAATATCTCCAATAAAAGTATATGTAATACTATCATCATACCTAAAGTATTCATTATTAGTGCTCCAGTTTCCAGATATATCATCTGTATCATGAGTGCTTATTTTTGTTTCTTTTATTGTGCAATGCAGAAAATGGGCCCTGTTTTTTTAAAGCCATGTGAAAACTGACTAGCACTAAATGTTCTGAATGTCGTTCCAGATAACACCTACCATCTGTTCTTAAAGTGTAACACACTTGAGCATTTTGAGTGTTGATATTTCCTCTGTGTGATAGTAGTGATTCCTCAGAGGATTTCACTCTACTTTTTGTATTTTTGGTTTTAAGCAAGGATCGGATCCATAGTCTCCTGCCTCAGCTTTCAGAGTGCAAGGGTTGCAGACATGTAAGTCTGGCAAGATGGCTCACTTGAGTTTCATAGAAATAACGGGGCAGAAGTTAGGTTGGAATAAGTGAGTGGCAATCAGAGTTTGTAAGGCCACCTGTGAGGTGATTATTCTGTCTGGTGTGATTGTGATAAGTGAAGAACTGCTTTGATAGGGAGGGGCTTAACTGCCCTGCCCAAATCCTCCATAGTTTCTTTCTTTTATGTCCTCCTGGCTCCCTGCTCAGTTGGTTTCCCTCTCCTGCCTACCTACACATGGCTGTGAGTGCTCTACTTCTGTGTTTCCTCCTAAAAGTCAAGTTCCTCTTGTAGAGGGTTAGATCCTTCCTGGTTATCTAGTAGGACCTGACTCGTTTCTGTGATAGATGCTGTACTGCTCCCATGGCTTGGTCTAGTGGCAGGTGCTTACTGTTTTCATGATGACAGCTTTCACTTGGGAGAACAGCCCTAGATCTTGCCCTTGCAGTGTCATTGAAACCAGAACTGGAGAGATCTTAAATTGCTTTTCCCTAACTTACAAATTTGTTGTGGTATAATTGGCATATAATAAAGCTGAACATATTTAAAACTGTGTATACCGTCATGAAGCAAAAGCACTCCCCTGTGAATAGGTCCCACAGCCCACTAGGAGAGCACACCCCTCGTGACTTAAAGACATCTCACTGCTAGACCCCAGCTCTTCTTAAAGGTGCCTTCCACACTGCACGCCAGCCTTTGCCACATGGGCCTCTAAGTACTTATGATCCAAGCCCATGAAAGTCTCTTTATTGCTCTTGTCTCTACACTTGCTTTATAAATCCTAATGAAAAACTGTATATTTGGCTCTCTTGGCAAAGCACCAGTATTGAAAAGTTGGTATATTTAAAATTGGTAGATATTGTAGACTTCATTAATTTCTCTGCTAATAATATAATTAAAACTTTAAAATTTCAAATTAAAATTGTTCGTTCTTTTAAAATTTCACAATTTATGATACATTCACATTTAATGTGTATTTGGATGAATTTTCACAGTTGAATTTTAGCACTGTGGAGCCATCCCCCCCCCAAAAAAAAAATCTGGGACACTTTCATTGTGCTAGAAGGACTTCCTTTTTCCTCTCCCCTTCTGATTTCTTCCAGATATTTAAAAGTTTGAAATTTGAAAATATAGATGCCATGCCCATTACTTGCAAGATGGACTGGGCGGTTCTTAGATATGTAAATGATCATTTGTTATTTGCTGTTCTGTGTCTGGCTTTGAAAATCCAATGAGGTTTGAGATTCATTTGTAAGGGTTTTTTGTTTTTTATGTTTGCTAAGTAGTGTTTATATGACTAGATCACAAAGTCTCCTGTTGATAGATTTATGTGTAAGGCTGGAGAACATGTTTCCAAGTTCTATTGTGAACCCTAGTGGGTGTTGCTTGCATCTCTGAGACAAGGGTCTGTAGCTTGAGAGTTTGCAGTTCTGACACTCCCATGGACAATTGAGTGCTCTGTGCCACAAGTTTGCACCAACAAGAGCGTGAAGACCACCATGGCCTCTTCAGAAAGCATTTGTGCAGAGGTCGAATTGATGAGACCTGGAAGCTGTCCTCAGAGTACATGTGATGTTTTCGGTGTATGGTTGGTTGTACACAGCCACCGAAGTCGCACTTGCATTCTTTTGAAAGGACTTTAATTGCAGGACGAAAAAGTGTATGTGCCATTAATGCCAAGTTAAGATGAGGGAGGCCATAGCAGTTTCTATTCCAGCAAGACAGGAGATTCTCATTTTCCTGCCCTGGCCACTGCCTTGAAGTTTTCAGTCACTGGATTCTTTCTAGGGTTTCTTGTCAGCTCTTTGTAGCATGTGTTTGTCTGGCTTTCACTAAATACAGTTATCTTGGAGCTTGTCCTGTGTATCGGCCATTGGTTCCCATTGGATGCACCAGAGAATTGTGGAACAGTTTCAGTGATCTGAACTCTCCTGGCCCCAGGGAAGACCCTTCTTTGCTATTCCTCAGTAGCTGGTTAGTCTGTCCTTCTGGAGCCCTTCCTCAGCTTCTGAATACATTTGTAGCCTGCAGCTCCCAGCTCGGATGTGGTACTTCGGTGGGTGGAATCAGGCTGCTATTCACCTTCCTGCCACCTGAGCATACCACTTCTGGAAGTAGCCTCACATGGCTGTAGGATACCATCTCCTCTTTCCCTCTTGGTTATGTAGCTTTATGTGTTGCATTTCTTTTCTTTTTAAAAAATTATTTGATGATGTGTGTGTGTCTGTGTGTGGGTTTTTGTATGTAAGTCCAGTACCCTTGGAGGGCAGAAGAAGGGGTTGGATCCTGTGGAGCTGGAGTTAAAGGTGGTGGTTGTAAGTGGCCTAATGTGGGTGCTGGGAACTGAACTTGGGACCTCTAGAATAGCAGTATGTGCTCTTAGCTGTTGCACATTTCCTCAACTTCTTCTTCGAATGTCTTCTGTTTCATAATTTGCTTCATTGTAATTTTCATTTTATCTTTGGTGAGGATGATGCAAGTCAGCCTACCCCCCTTGACTCACATCAAGGCTTTAGTGTTCAGTTGGTTTGTTTAGTTTTGCTGTAATGAGCAACACAGAGATAAGCTTGCTTGCAGAGAAATGGTGTTGTGTGTGTGTGTGTGTGTGTGTGTGTGTGTGTGTGTGTGTGTGTGTGTGTATCACCTCTTTGTCCTATTTTGAATTTATTATACAGTTATAACAATTTCCATTTTATTTTCATGCATGCCCATGTAGGCAGGTGTAGGTCATGGCTCTAGAGTAGGAGTGGACACTTTCCTTCCATCATGTGGCTCCTAGGGATCAAACTCAGGTAGTCAGGCTTTTCAAACCATCCTAAGATAGACTTCTGGACCTTAATTGCAGAATGAAAAGGTGTATGTACCATTAATGCCAAGTTGAGCCATAGCAGTTTCTATTCGAGCAAGATAGGACAGGCTCTTCTGTGTATATATGCCCTGCAGAACTCTCCATTACACATATATACATGCACATAAGGCTAAGATATCCAGGTCTCACTAGAGGAGAGAGACAGGGCTGCAGTAGCAATAGATCCTCACTGTGTTCATGATTGCTGGTGGCCCTGGCTCCTCCCTGCACAGTCATCCTTGTCTGGCATTGGCCAGGTGAACTCAGGGTTTTCACTTTTTTGTTCCAGGCTACACTCCTGGTACACCTTACAAAGTGTCCTGTTCCCCAACCAGTGGAGCTGTGCCACCATACTCCTCCTCCCCCAACCCCTACCAGACGGCCGTGTACCCAGTGAGAAGTGCCTACCCCCAGCAGAGCCCGTATGCCCAGGTATGCTTGGGCATGCCCTACACCTTGGGGAGGGTTGGTTCCATCATGTCCCTACAGCCCTGGAACCCTCTGGCAGTTGTCTCTGTTTTCCCCACAGCAAGGCACGTATTATACACAGCCTCTGTATGCAGCACCCCCTCATGTCATTCACCATACCACGGTGGTGCAGCCCAATGGCATGCCAGCAACTGTCTACCCTGCTCCCATCCCTCCTCCTAGAGGCAGCGGGGTCACCATGGGCATGGTTGCCGGGACCACAATGGCCATGTCAGCAGGTGAGTCCTAGTTGTTGGTGTGTGTATTCTGTGGCAGCCTGAGAGCTGCCTGGAGTTGAGAGGGTCCATGAAGTTCTGACACATTAGATTCTCATGGCTTCAGTTGTATGGAAGGACTCTCTCCCCTCCCCTTCTCCTTTTAGGAACCGGCCATGAGTCACGTTGCCTCTACTATGGAGCATCACTGAAGAGCACACTTTGTTAGTGAGCTAAGGGGCCATTTGGCAGTAGGAACGAGGAGTGTCAGGTCACCCTCATTTGGCACCATCTCCCATGAGTAGCTAAACTGAGAGCAGTGGGGTGTAGGTACTTTGTATTTCAGATGGGCCAGCTTTCTCTGTTGGTCAGGTTGCAATAATGAGTGTTTAAGAAAGCTAGCTTTGTGTTGATAAAAGGCAATGGCTGCTTGTAGAAACCCTGTGTCATTTATGTATTGAATCAGGAAAGCGGGTTGGGGCATAACTCCGTGGAAGATTGGGATTTGATGGAAGGTCTAAGTATGACTTCACTTCTTGACCTTTAAGTATATGTAGCTGCCTGTAAGCCTTTCAATACAAGCTCACATATTCTCCATGACTGGGATTTAAAAAGAAGAAGAAAAGAAATCAAGCCATTCTTTAAAAAAGTTTTCTGGACTCCAACATAAGGAAATCATGTCAGACATAACACCATGGGATTCTCTTTATTTCTACTTAGACTCTCCATTTGTTTTTTCTGAGTTTGTTGTTAAAGTTAAGACTAGCATAGACTTGCTGTCTACCTTAGGGTAGCTCCCAAAGGAGCGGGGGTGGGGGGGGAGCAGCAAGGATTTCCCCGCCTTGAGTTGTGGAGGTGTGGTTTAACACTAGGGCCATGCAGGCCATTGCTGCCTGTATATATTTATGGACCGCAGACCTCCCTCAGGCGTGTGTTCATGTTCTCTCTCTCTTTCTCCCTCCCTCCTCCCCATGTGCATCTGTTTTTGTCTCTCTCTCCCTCTCTCCCCCCAGTATACAACTCTGTGTTAAGTATCCTCATGTTCCTGGGAAACAGGTCTCCAGAACGTTCACCCTACAAATCTAAAGCTCCTGTACCATTAAGCAAATGCTCTTTTTCCTTCCCCAAGCTGTGGCATCCACTATTGTGTGTTCTGACATCTCAGTTTGACAGTCTTCAGAACCTCACATGAGTGGGGCTGACGATGTCCTTCCTCACTGGCTTTTTCACGTAGCCCAGTGTTCTCAAAGTTCACTTCTGTCACTCAGGGGTCAGAATTTCCTTCCTTTTTAAGGGGATTAATGCTCACTTTCTCATTTTATAGCCACGTGATCTGCAAAAAAAAAAAAAAAAACCGAGTGCATGTTCTGCAGGGGAGTTAATCATACTCTGACCCTAAACTGCTGGGCTTACAAGGCCTTTCAGCACTTTGGGATAATCTCTTCAGAGTTTGACCCTCCTGGTTGAAGACCATTCTTCTTCCCTTGTGTCTCCCTTCCAAGGAATCCAGGTCATGGGTTTTTCAGAGGCCACATGGCAGAGCTCTGCTGGAGAGGTCACATGTGTTTTTGATGTGAAGTGTTCCTCTTTTTTCCAGGTACCCTGCTGACTGCTCATTCTCCAACTCCTGTAGCCCCTCACCCAGTCACTGTTCCCACATACCGAGCTCCAGGAACACCCACCTACAGCTATGTGCCCCCTCAGTGGTGATGGCCCTGCAAATTAATGTAAGTACTAGTCAGTATCTGGCTGGGTGGGTCCTGGGGAAGGTGCATTTCCCTGAGGAAATGGGAAACTGGTCTCACATTTTAGCACTATTCCAGTTTGCTTCTGTGTTGCTGTGATAAAACTGAGCAAAAGCAACTTGGGGAAGGGAAGGGAAGGGTTGGTCTGGCTTACAGTTATAGTCCACCATAATGGGAATCTGAGGCAGGAACTAAAGCACAGACCATAGACGATGGCTGCTTATTGCCTTGCTCCCTCCGGCTTGCTCAGCCACCTTCTTTATATATCCTAGCCCACCTGCCTAGGGATAGCACCTCTAGACCTTACCTCATTAATTAGCAGCCAAGAAAAGGCCACACAGACATGGCCACGGGCCAGCCTGATGGACGCAGTTCCTCTATTGAGATGCCGTCATGCTAAGCACTAAGAGGAAAGTGTACCCTCTCTTTACCCTGGACAGTGCAGAGCTTTCTGTTTTTATTCTTACTGGGATGTCCCAAGGCAGAGAAAGAAAGGAAGCCATTGTTAAACTGTTTACACTGTGCATCTTGCTGCTTCAGTAATGGGCACATATCACCCTTCTGCTGGCTGCAGTTTGTGGGGTTCCTTTAACGGAGGCAGGGGGCACAGGGTGTGTCTGTAAGGTGCAGCGGTTCTGGCTACTGCTGCCCTCTGGAGTTTTTGAAGCAGAGGTGCCAAGAGCCTGTATGACTGTTTGTCATTCTTTCCCAGATTTGAGGATGGAGCTGTGCAGTCACTTCATTGAGTTCCACAGCTGGTGCTGCAGGCCTTGAGCCTCCAACCAGGACTTTCTTCTTAATGCTCTCGACACATAGCTAAACATGACTGCGTCCCAGCCCAGCAGGTCCCAGCTCGATAGTCTCCAACTAACTCTATGGGTTGGTTTTAAAGCAAATCCTGTTTTGTGGACTGCCTGGCAATTTTTTTAGCTAACTGTAATGATAAAAAGGGAGTATTACTCTATTCTGAATCTTATCTAGTTGAATGCATGTTTATAAAAACACAAAAAGCTTGCTCAATCTACCTGCAGTGACTGATGCAAAACCATCATATGCAAAATCCAAAGGACTGGACCGTGTTCTACAGCCTGTGTCACTCATGCGCTGGTGTAATGTATGCCGAGTCTCACAGTTAACTCGTGAAAGTGAATTTCCTCAAGAATCATCTGGAGTACTGGAGGGGATTCTTGGGGTTGCCAGTTAGGGACACAGACTTGTAGTTTTCAGAAACCTGGTTTCTTGGCACTGACGAACCTGGAGGGAGCTGCAGGGAATGGGAGAGTGTGAGTCTGTGGTGGTTCCAGAGCAGCAGCAGGTGTAGTAGGTCCCTTTCCTTCATTTCAGCTGGAGTGTGGTCTGAGAAGCAGGGAAGTACCTGCATCCTGTCAGGAAATACGAGAGCTGGGTGGCCAGTACAGCTGGGATGAAGAGTGGTCTGTGTGCCAGCAGAGCACTCTCTGCCATCTGAATTTCCACTGTACATCTTACAGGATAATGTTTTGTGTAGCTGTTGGGACTGTGGGGAGAGTCCAGTGTAGAACTACACTGTTTTCCTAGGAGGGAAGATGTCAAAGAAGAGCGGCTACACTGAGGTGGCATTGTCTTTTGCTTTATTTCACTTAGGGAATCATCCCTTTCTTTCCCCTTGAGAAATAATTGAGTCAGCTAAAAACACACAGGCACTGCTCTATTTACCCCACAAAGAAGGGCAGAGGCTTCAGCTGTGTGCTGTGGAGAATGGTGTATATTTAAGACTGGTTAAAAGGGAATAAGTGTATTTTTAAGTTAGTTCGTGTTTCTTGTAGAGAAGCAGGGCTGTGATTATGTCTAAAATATGTAGAAGTAATGTAGCTTGTCCTGGGGTCATTTACCTGATGACCTGTCCTCTGTGTCTAGCTGGGGTGAGGCCTGAAAAGCCTGCATAAGTGTCCTGTAAGCCTCTTTTGCCACCTTTTTCTGTGGCTGACGGCACTCAGCACCAAGCACATGTGGAGAGTGCAAAGGGACTGGCAGTTTGGGACTGTGCTTGCTTGTCCACATGTGTTGTGGGAAAGATTTTGAGTATGTACATAAGAAATCAAGAAGTTTCTTTCTGCTTAAATGTGCCCAACTTGAATCTGTGAGAGCGTTTCTGTTCAGGGAGGGTCAGAAGGGCAGGACATGAGGACTTCTCTAGGGATGTTTGGGTTTTTTTTCCCCCATTGAAGTGCTGGGGTTTTGGTTGGAGGGGGTGCTTGTCTCTGGCAGGTAGGTCAGAGCTTCCATGTTGGTGTGGAGGTCGCCTCGTTAGCAGTCAGCTTGGCTAGAGGGTGGGTCATCTGAACAGTGAGCCTTTGGGAACCTTATTTTGTAGTAGTGCTCTCCATAACTTGTTTTTTAGCATTTTATTTTTTAATAAGTTTTGGAAAATTTCTGCATGGATCAGTGTAGACTGAAGAGTTCTCATTCCTAATGTCCATGAACATAGAATGTTTACGGATGAGTATGTTTAATTGCCTCGTGAGCACTTAACGGTGTGTGTGTGTGTGTGTGTGTGTGTGTGTGTGTGTGTGTGTATGTGTTAAGAAAGCACACAGTGCACAGAGATAGAAACATTTGCTGTAGGCACACAGCTTGTATCTGTACTTCATGTTAAGGATTCCCATCTGTGTGGTGGATGGTTTGCAATGTTACTGGTTCAGGGTTTCCCCTGGACCCAACAGACAGAAGGTGGTTTTCCCAAGTGAACAATCACAGATCAGTGGAACAAATGTACCCATGATTTTCGCATGTGTTTGAAAAAGTCCCCTCACCTGCCCCCCACTAAGCTTACCTGTGAAGGGTAGAGTTGTTTGCCTGCGGCAGGAAGTTTTGGTGTCTGCTTGCAGCTGCACACAGTGTGTGTTTCCACAGGCCCTGAGTTCTCAGGAGAAAGAAGAGTGGGGTGGTGTCCCCTCCTGCTGATGACATTAGCTGCACACACTTATCCTGTAACTGTTAACACATCATTCTTTTTCTTTTGAATTGAATTGAGTGACTATCAAACACTTCTGTATTATACAACTCATCTGGAAGTCTTTCCTGTTTTGAAACCATCAGGACATCAGCTCTGGAATCTGCTGGTAAAAGATCTTACCTATCAGGTAAAAAGCTGGGCATAGGGGTAGTAACAAACTGTCATAGGTGGTGATTTCAGTGGCATTCAGTTTCAGTAAAATTAAGGAACAGAACTTGGGTCAGTATTTTATTACACAGCTGCATAGGTGTCCCCAAAACATTAAGGAACATTCCAAGAAAGTGTGCTTTTTATGTGTGTAACATTCCCAACTCTGTAGTCCTTCAGCTGAATTCTTGTAGGAGGTAAAGCAGGCAGGCGAAGGACCTGATACCTGTGAACATGGACATCATTTTTAGGCACATATATACATTTTTAAAGTTTATTCTCTGCTGCCTCCCCTGAGGCTAGGGAGCTTCTTCCTCTGCTGCTGCTGTTTGTAGTTTAAAGTTTGGTAGAGTTGAGTGTTAAGCAACCTGCGAGCTCCCTGAGAAGTAAGGCTACCATCAACATTGGGCTAGTTAGGTTACAGGCATGGAAGTGCTGTTTCAGAACTTTTGTCTCCTGTCATGTGGTCTTCGTGGAAGAACCATTGAGTGGCTGTTGGCCTGCCAGTTACCATGCTGGGTAGCAGCTTTTGAGTGTTTTGCAGAGGCAGGGTTTCTATCAGGAGGGGAGGTCCTCAATTCTGGATTGGCTGTTGAGTATCCTACCTTTCTTCAGCTTTGCATCTGGTTATGTTATCCTGCTGTGCCAGGAGGCTGGAGGAGCAGATTGGATGTTTCTTAAGGGATTGCTACAGTGAGAGGAAACCCGTTGGGGGAGGTCTAAGCTCACTGGCTTGCCTGTGGAGTAGAGAGGCTGGCAGGCATAAATAAGCCTTAAACCTTGGGGCTGCTTGACATACATTCCTCAGCTCTCCTTTGTGAATATTGGAGTACAGGATTACTGACGGGGCCACTTTCTCTAACTCAGAAGCTGACACCTGTAGTTGTGGTATACCTGGCACTGCTGGATGGCACAAGACCTGGTAGTGGCAATTGTGGCAGCTGCTGGTCCTTCCCTCTGGTGCTTTCTGAGGGTTGCTAGAGGGTAGGAGTGCAGCTGGCTGAGCAGCGGAGTGCAGAGCTCACTCTCCTGTCCAGCACACTTCCCAGGTTTGCATATTTCCTGAGTTGCTTATCCTGCACAGTCTTCTATGTTTGATGGACTGATACCCAGAAAGGATAATGTGGTTTTGGTAGGAATACTTAAATTAATTCCCTGTGTTTTACTTCTTTCCTACCCCCTTCATTTGAAGAACAGAAACCCTGTGGAATAAATGTTACTACAGTGATGGTGTGGGAAGCAGCAGCTTTTCTGTCTGGGGACTGCAGTCCTTATATACGAGATGTGAGGGCCTGATGGGTATATCAGGCAGCTCCCATGGCAGGGCAGTGGGTGGGTCTGGTGCAGACTGTGGGCAGTGTGATAGACCAGTTAGGTGAGACTGGGGACCGGCTCCCAGTAGGGTTATTGTGGCAGCTGCAGGCCCCAAGGAGCCTGATAGGCCGTGACTGAACAGAAGAGGTTCTTCTTTTTTTAAACTTTTGTTTTTAAATACTCTTTTTTACACTGTTTTCTTGGTACTTTTTTTATGCTTAAGTCAGCATTGTCTTCCAGTGTTAAAGGCATCCCTTGCCTCTTCATTGAACTTATGTGTCAATATAATAGGAATGGGCAGACTGTCCATCCCAAGCCAGTTCGATTAAATGTAAATTCATACTGTTTTAATTTTTTATGCAATCTGATGAGTAGATGAGCTCAGATTTAAAAGCACGTTTATTGTAACAGGAATTGTTATGTATTAATACTGCAGTTTTCAATAAAGATTGACTTGTGTTGCATATTCTGATTTTTCTTTTCATGTGATTTTTGTCAGAGGTGATGGCCTGATGGGCACATACTACCACTTCTCCCAGGCAGGAGATTGCTAGGGGGTTGGGGTAAGGCTGTGTGTTCAGCCCTCCATTGGTTTTGGTGGAGGGGGTCCTCCTAGGTGGTGCAGGAGGTGTAGGCTTATGTAGCTCCACATGAGCCTCCCGTGTCCCTCAGTTTGGTAAGGAGGATGCTGAAACCCAGAAGTACCACCGACTCCATCCCTTAACTTACATATATATGCCAATTAGCTGGATACGGGAGATGGGAAGGGAGTCTATGCCCACTGCCATCCACGGCTCCCTTACTTCAGTTCCTCCCCCTTCCTTTGGGCCTTTGCAATAGTGAGCCTAGCCACCTTAGCCCACTTGTACCAGGACCCCTATGACTGTGGCCCAGTAAACCGATCATCCCCTAGGCTTATAACAGAGGAGTAGCTAAGGAAAGAGGCAGGGTACCAGCCCCAGAGGGATTGATTGGCCAGCACACAGGAGAAGCTCACACATACACCAACAATTCACCAGCAGCCAGGTTACTTTTCTTAAGTTTCTTTATGAAATTAAATGTGGTTTCTGGATTAGAGAAGGTACAGTGCAAGAGGTACTGACCATGCTTCTGAATCCTATGGGCTCTGCACTACATGCAGGCCTGGCTGTGTGCCCCACGAGGAGTCAGTCCATGCTAGGCCACGGAATTCAGTCCTTATGGCTTCTCACACTCACTAGGGTAAGGCAATCTTTCTGCGTCATTAACAATTCTCCATTGTTAGAGAAATAACACGACAAAATCATAATGAATGGGGACTGGGTATATGTGCAGCCACCCCAGCTACAGGGGACTGTCACTAACCTGGAACCAGGTACACAGTTGACTGTACCGTTTTCTTCTCATTGCACATGTCACAAAGGGTGTCTGGCAGCCAGCAGTGTCTAGAGGAGCCAGGAGGCATAAGGACAGCTATGGGTAGAGTTAGGAGTGCACAATTCTTGGTTCCTGACCTCTGAAGTTACAAGTGGGCTGGGGGCCTGAAAGGACAAGTGGAGAGCAGAGGGGTGCACACCTGCTTTTGCAGGTGGCTCATGGCCACAGACTTTGGTCTCCTGCCCAGAGAAAACAGGAGTGGAGATAAGCTTTCCAAAGAACGTCCAGCACAGATGAGCCTTATTGGCACTGCCTGGCCAGTGGTTCTGAGCTGTGGCTTGCAGGCTCACCATCGGTGGAGGGTGGAGACCCTGCACAGGTCCAAAGTATAGGCAGAGGCAGAGTGCAACACTGCACTCGCATTGGGGAGGAAGCCAGAGGCAGGGCCCAGACTTCATACAGCTGTGATGCTGTACCTGTTCACTTCCAGTTTGCAAAACAGGCAGAGGGCCTGATGGAGTAGGCCTTGAGGGAAGGCTGGGTCCACAAAGTGCTGTCAGGTTGTCCGGTAGGTGCTGGCTCACTTTCGGAAGGGTGCCAGTCGGCTGATGCTGTGCCAGAAGTTAGATGGCTTCCGCCTGGGCTCAGCTAGCACCAACACCTGCTGCTGGGGCCGGCTGGCAGGCAAGGGTGGATGCTTGTGACGGGTCAGGTATCCTGGCCTGCCGACAGCTGAGCAGGGAGAGACAGCAGGGGTCACAAGGTAGAAGACAAAGGGGTTCATCTGTGGGGTAGTTTGTCACACAGGATTTGCTTACCAGGGGGCTAACCATGACACACAGGACCCCAAGTTATCCAGAGCTTCTGGCTTGGGCCTGGCCTACTACAGCCTGAGGGCTGGCCAGGACCACTGTCCAAAGCATAGGATGTTGGCCTCCACCATCTATGGAGATGTAGAGATGGCTCCCTCCCAGGCAGCTGTGATGTGTCTATCAGCAGCCTGGGGGTGTGAGCACTAACGCCTGGTGCCTCTAGGAGGTCAGAGGCATCAAGCAAAAACTATTAACAGCTCTTGTCATCTGTGGCCCTTATCACCTTTGGAAAGGCACACCTGTAAAGGGCAGTGGACATCTCCAAGGATCCAGACGGCTAGCTGGCATTGCTTTTGAAGTCAGATGGGTATGTAATCAAGACTGGAATGCCCATGGAGTAGGATGGTTCCCCATTTACCTTTAGGCTTCCCTGTGGCCTGCTGCTTGCTGGCATTCAGCATGGCCTGCTTCCTCTGCAGCTCAGTGATGGAGAAGCCTGGAGGAAGGGCACACATGAGATCCCGCCTTGCTTTCCTCAGCTGCCCACGTGCCTCCTTGGAGGGCTTCCTGGTTCAGGTACTATCCTCCCAATGCCCCATTCCTATCACTCTTTAGACAGGCTGGCATGGCAGGGACTGTTCCCTCATCTGTTCAGTCATCCTGTCTTGCCAGCCAAGGGAGAGAACAAAGATCCCCAACTTCTGTGCTGGCTCACTTTCGGAAGGGTGCCAGTCGGCTGATGTTGTGCCGGAAGTTAGATGGTTTCCGCCTGGCCTCAGCTAGCACCACCACCTACTCCTGGGGCCGGCTGACAGGCAAGGATTTCTTCATTTCTCACCTTGACCCTGTGCCTTCCCATTTCTCTAATCTAGCTTCTTTCTCAATACTGCCATGGAGGCTGTTTCCCAAACCAAAGCATGAAGCTGGGGGTCTAGGAACAGGAAAGGATGGGAAAGAATTCTATAGTACCCAACCCAGTGCTCTCCCAGGGCTTGAGCTGGCTGGAAAGGGGCTCTTCCTGGGCTCAACAGATGGGCACAGAGCGGGGCACTCCCATCAGACCCAGTCAGTGAACTGACCACCGAGGAAGGGCCATTTTTGCCAGCGGGGTAAGCACAGAGCCATGTGCTAAGAGGTTTCTGCAGCCTGACCCAGCGCTAGGTGTGATCTCATTGTCAAGTTTGCTTTGACCACCTGCTAGGTGGGCCCCAGAGGCTAGGCAAGGCCCAGCAGGGTCTCCCACCTGTCTCCTGGTCCAGCCGCACCTGCTCCCTCTCCCTGGCAAAGGCCTTCAGCCAGCGCTGCTTCTGTTCTGGTTTCCTGGCACATAGTAAGTGACTGTCCCCAGTGGCACCACAGTACAGACGGAAGGCGTTCTTGACGCTCACATGGAGGTCTCGGTCCTTCCCATCTTCCACATCCACCACCTCCAGATCATCCATGTCCAGCCGACCTTTGTAGTACAGCACGTCCCGACGGAGCAGGTCCTGCCAGATGCACATGGTAGGGTAGGCAGAAAGTCCCAGAAACTAAAGCAGCAGCCCACATGGTATGGGAGAGCAGAGAGAACAAGGAAGGCTTCGTGCATGAGGCCATTGTGTCACAGTTTGGAAGAGGCAGAAGCTAGCAGTAAAGAGGCCAGAGGCTGCTGCGATCGGGGAAATCATGAGAGGCAGAGGCTTGCAGGGAGAGACATAGTCTGAGGAGCAGGCAGGGACCAGGTCAGGAAGGAGGGTGTGGGACAGCACACTGTTCCAACGGCCACCCCCGTGTCCCTGGGCTCACTCTAGAGAGTCCTAAGGGCCTGATTGGAGCTCCTGGAGCTCCATGAAAATGGCCAGGGTAGAGTCTACCAGGCCCTTTGCCTCTAGACAAGAGCCCCAGCCCTTACCACTCTACTACAAGAGCCTGGTCTGGCAAGGCAGGGTGGTTCCAATACCTTTTTACAGTAGATGAGCTGACGGTCAAAGAGAAAAAACATTCTCTGCTGACTCTTGGCTTGAGGCTGTGTAACACGGGTCAGCTCCCCCGAGTAGATGAGTTCCGAGCTCCTGACCAGGAGATCTTCCCCCTGAGTAAACCCCAAGGAGAGCCGTGAGGTAAGTGTACCACCCTACCTTAGGCTCTGCTTCCTGCCTCTCTTGTTGGTGAGCCTTCTTCCCACTGTAGCCTGAACTGTGCCAGGCCAAGGTAAGGGGGATCACACCCTTAAAGCCCAAGCCGTACTTTGGGCCTTGAAGGTATGGCTGTGGGAGGTGAATAAAGGCAGATTTGATCCATTCTGTAGAGTAGGACTTCACTGTAGCCAGTGGCCTTCTGAGGCTCTTGAACACTGAGAATTTCATGTGTCACTGTAAAGTGCACAGTGATTTCAAAGGGTGTGGAACAGTATAAAATACATTTGGATATGCTGAGTTAAATAAAATATGAAAGTCTACTTCACATTTTTATTTGGTATGTGGTATGTATGTATGTATATGTTCACATGTGCGCTTATATATGGTGTGGGGGCCAGAGGTCAACACCAGGTGTCTTAGTCACTTTCCATCTTTTTTTTAAGCTTTTATTATATTTATTTATTGTGGGAGGGGAGGGGTGGATGCACACATGCCACAGCAAGTGTGTGGTGGCCAGAGGACACCTTGCAGGAGCCTCTTTCCACTATGTGAGTCCTGGAGACTGGGCACAAGTCGTCAGCTTTGGCAGCAGGCTCCTTTCTTTACCTGCTAAGCCATCTTACCAACCCATCTCTACCTCGTGTTGAGACGAGGTCTTTCACTGAACTCATAAATTCAGTTAGGCTGGCTGGCCAGAGAGCTTTAGGGATCTTCTTGTCACTAACCATCTATGACTTCAGGGACCCTCTTATCTCTAACCATCTAGGACTGGGATGCTTTTTATATGGGTGCTGGGAATCAGAATTCCCGAGTCCTCCTGCATGTGTGCACAGCAGGCACTTCACCACCTGAGCCATCGCCCTAACCCCACCTTTTCCCCCCCTTTGGAGAGATGGCTACTAGGAAGTACAGCATTGTAGACATGGCTCATGTTATCTCTTGAATGGACAGTGCTGCTTTGGAGAAAAAAATAGGCTTGGCAGGAACTTGCCCCTGCAGCTAAATGTATTTAGGACCTGAAGCTGGCAGTCTGGTGCTGCTGGCAGCTATCCATTTTGGGATGACTGTGCTCTCCAGTCCTTGGCCAAGCATGGGCTCAGAACCAGTCTGCTGCACTGCCCCCCACTCCCACACCCAAGGGTTAAGATTTGTGTAAGGGCAGAGCCTAGGACTCTACTTTTGTGTACTTTTCTGTGGCTTATTCTGATACACTTTCACTTATCCTGACAGCTGGCATGGTATGCCATGGCTCCATATGGGTAGAGCAGAGGTGGCTGGTTGCTGGAGGCAGAGGGGCAGAGTCCTCCCACCCCCATGCCTCTAGGGAGTCGGAATTCTAGTCATCCGTTTGTTGCTTTAGAAAGCAAGACTGGCAGATACATGGGAATGAGCAACTCAGAAAAACTGACAAAGCATTGACATGTGAGGATCCATTTCTAGTCCCACCATTGGCTCTAAGCTGTTGAAAATTCCATAAGATTTCTAAAACCTAGTAGTCCAGCCTGTCCCTAAGGGCAGAGAAACAGACCAAGATGTCTTAAAAACAAGGTTCCTTAGGTTAGGGCTCCCCCTGGCTGGTGACAGCTAGGTGTGTGGCAGTTGCACACAGGAAGGTGTCAAGGTGAAGGTACCACCAAAGGCCCAAAGCGAAAGAACCTGTCTTCCATCAGCTCCCGGGAGTGCAGTGGATCCCTGCTTCTGTTCCCTTCTGGGCAAGAGCAGTTTTCAAGCAAGGACCCCACAGTATTTTCTGGGCACTGGTGCCCTCACCTCCCAGTCCTCTATGGAGCTCTGCCACTGAGCAATCTTGTCAATGTTCTCAAGTCTCCGTTTCCGCTCATTGATGAGCTGGGCCACATTCTTCATGGCATGCAAGGCAGCTTCAACATTCTTAAAGTCCCTGGGGCAGAACAGACAAAAGTGTGCAGCGAGCTGGAAAGCAGAGTCCCCAGAGGCCCCTCCATGTGAAGTTGCCACGTCTCCCTGGGCTGTATCTCATAGCCACAGCCTCACCCATCAAATAGTCTCTCCTCCATAACTGGCAGGTAGAACAGCTTAATATTTTACTGATCTATATCCTCCCTGACAGGGTGGTGGGTTTGCTTTACCCTAAGCCATTTCCCAGTGCCCACAGCAGTACCCAGCATTCTGCAAATGGTACCCACACTATAAATATTCAGTTGGCTGCCTGACGGCATACACAGAGTCTCAGGCAGCTTCCCTCACCATGTGCCCTCTACCTGTGCTGGGGGTGTGTGTACTTGAGCAGCTCCGCCAACTGGAGGGGATACTTGCAGATCTTCTGCACTGGGGTGAGTAGAAAGCCATCCAGGGAAATGTCAATCATTCTTTGCAACAGCCGGCAGGCCTCGAAGAAGTACACGTACTTGCTGAGCTTGGTGAGCCTGGAGAGCTCCACACAGGCGTTGGGGTGGTTGTTGCAGTACTCAGAATAGATCTGGAAGTCTGCTTGCTGCGGGACACAGTTGAAGGTCAGACAACCACAGTTGAAGTGGCTGCCTCCTGTTTCGCCAAGTAACGGGCTACAGCCAGGAGGCGAAAAGGGACAGGAAGGAACTTCTGCATTTGTTTTAGGGACTGGTTCTACCAACCTCACTGGGAACAAGGCTATGAGTTGTCATTCCAGGGATGGGGAAAAAATAAACCTGTGATATGTGCATGCCTATCCTTGAAGCCACTCAGCTTTTCCAACAGGGTGTCCAGGAGATATACTGATGATACATCTGTTTTTATTATCTTTTAACGAAGGTGCTAATCAGGAAGGTTTATCAAGGCTAAGCAGATAAGGCCTCGGAAGGTGGCTCGACTCCCTTGGCTTTAGGAGAGGACAAGACAGGCTCTGTCCAGTAAGACTAGTAGCTTTTATCTGTGAACCTGGTGTGGAAAATTCTGGCAAGAGATAGAGCAAGGGAGCTATGCATAAAGACAAGGCGGGGGCAGGGCGGGCACTCCTGCATGTGAGGGCTCAGGGGTCCTGTACAGGATGGGTCCAGGTGTACTCACGTGTTCCAGAAAGCAGGCACCCAGCTCGCTCAGGTGTGGCCGCTCTGTGTTGAACTTCTGCTCCAAAGCCTTCACAAACGCCTTCTGGCAGCGGTAGATGTCTTCGATGTTCCCGAAGATGGTGCGCAGCTGCTCTTCACTGAACATATCCTCCCGCTTTCGGCACTGGCGGACATAGCCCTGGGGGATGGGGCGGGGCCCAAGCTCTGTATGGACCCACCCGTCTACCCTTCCACATGCCACGCCCTCTGCACCAGTCCACTTCACCACCTGACCCTGCCTACTCACCGTGCCCTTTGACCCCACCCATCCTAGCCTACCCACAGTTCGAGTCAAACATCCCACAACCCTCACCTCTCCAAGCAAGCCCTGTGCCTGCCCTCCTCACCTCACAGATGTCCCGAAGGTGCTTGATGTAGTCCCTCTCAGTGCTGAGGATCTCATTGATGACATTGGTGCGCATCTGGTCCTTGCAGCTCTGGGCTTCCGGAATGCTGTCTTCGGTCTCTCCAGCCCCGGCCCGCGGGGCCTCGTAGTTGTCCGCGGGCTCATCCTGGTTCACCCGCAGCTAGACAATGCAACACTATGAGTGCTTGCCATCTTCCAGTCAATCAGTCAGTCCCTGATCTGCCTCAGGTCATTGGGAGCTGAGGTCAGTAGCTCTCACAGGACACACAGGTCCAAGGGCACACCTGCAAATTCCCTGCAACTGCCTCCTAGGCTCAAGGCCAGGGCAGGGGATGGTGGGTTTGATGACCACAGCCGCTGTCAAATTCACTCCTCTAGTAGACTGTTCTCAGCAGGGATTGGAGCAAGCACTAGGAATTCCTGAACCAGACCTACTCATCCTAGGGCATCTAGGCACAGGGACTTGAGTGTCTAGGTGGAGGCCTTCATAGATTGTTATCCTGTTAAGTTTAGGAAAGGGAGGGGGCCTGCACAGGAGGAGTTCCTTCTCTGGTGACCAGATGCAGCCTAAGGTTGGAACTGGGTCACCTGCTCTCTTGGGTATGATTTTGCTGTCTTGCCTCCTCCCGGTTTCTATCTCTGGGGGCTGTGTTCCCCACACACCCCATGAACATGACAGTCATGGGTAGAAGGCATTCATTCATTGTTTGAAGTGGTGGTATGCTAAAACATCATATTCTTACATATCTGACCTGCTCTTCTCTCTGACCCCAGAGGACTGTCGAGCAAGGGCCTGGGAACATGGGGATTGAGCAGAAAGAATGTCTGTGTCACAGTTCTGACCCCCACCCATCCAGTCTGAGGCACCAAGTAACAGCAAAACAGAGAGGGTGGTCTATGCCTAGGACTGTGGAGCTGTTTGGGGCTTGGACTTCTGAGAAGAGCCAGGAGTCTTCAAAGGCTCGGGGAAAGCACAGACTGGAGCCATACCCGTACAAAGCTGGCAGGGAACCACCCCTCGCCATCTGCAACGCGGCCCCACCACCATTCTCTGTTGGTGGCATCCATCACTTCGATGACATCCCCAGCTTTGAAGCCCAGTTCCTGGTCATCCATGGTAACATGGTCCCACAAGGCTTCAGCACACACCACACTGCCATCACTGATGAGCTGTAGAGAGAGCCAAGGCAGGTGGGTTAGTGAGGCAAGAATACCTACCCTGCTCCTACCCAGCAGCCCTGGAAGCAGGGATCCTGGCCTGCTTTACAGAGAAACTTCAAGTTTCCCTCTGGGCCAGCAGCTCTCCAGGGGCAGGGCTGTGCTCGGGCATGTCTAGATTGTCCAAGCTCAATGAGGGAGTGAGAAGTGAGAACACAGGAGGAGACTGACGGTTCACGTGGTTCCTTCCCTGTTCAGTCACACCTTCTGCTATTGAGTCTCTGGCTGCAATACCCTACTCTGGGAGGCACAGAGATGTTGGACTGGGACATGCACTACAATGTGGCAGTTGGCAGCTGCTCAGTCCTCTCCTAGGCAGCCATGTAAGAGAGGGGACTTGCTCCCTCTGCAGATTCTAATGGGCTTGCCTGGCCTTTGTGAGGTCACCCAATTAATGGTGCTGTTTTACCAATGACACAGAGAGCACAGAGAGCTGTCCATCACGGCAGCTGGGTTATATTTGTTGTGTGTGTGTGTGTGTGTGTTTTTTTTTAAACCCTTGCAGAAGTAGTCACCTGACACGATGGCTCCTTACATCCCAGACACCCACACCAGCTGAGGGGTGGTCCTCCTCAGACTTTAGACCCTGAGCCCTGGAGATGTGTTTTAATTACTCTATGGCCTCCCTTTCTTGGCCAGGCTGGAGAAGAGACAGACTATTCTTGTAGCTGTTAACTCTAGCAGGTAAGCCTCTTCCACTGAGTCAGTCACATTATATCTGGCTGAGAGCTCTATGTACTAGGATCTTTCTGCCTACATGACTGACTGGTGAGGCTCCTGTCTCCACTGTGTGGCCTGTCCCTATCCCCTTCCAGGTGTCCCTGATGGTTGGAGCTCTGTCCCACATCCATTGGCTCCTGCTTTTTGGTTTTGAAGGCTGTTTTCTGCTTTATGAACAAATGGCTCTGATGGCTGAGGGCAGGAGATGCATAGACCTCCTCCCTGGCTAGCCCAACAGAGAACTGGATGGTACCCCGCCAAGCAGGTCCCCGCACAACTCAGGTGTGCCTCTAAACTGCTCTACACCTTTTGAACTCTCCTTTGCCCTCCCGGATGCTTCCATATTTGAATCAGCCCAGGAAGGAGGAACGTTTCCCAGGAAAACGAGCAACATCTCTACTCCAGTGTCAGACATTGTCCTAGAGCTCTCTGTGCCCAAGGCCACACAAGGATCCCAGCAGAGAGCTCTGGATTCTTCCTGGGGACACAGACCTCCAACCTCTGGGCTCACGGTCTCTGTAACAGTGACTTTCTGCAGACAAGTCTGGCTGACATACATCTGGTATAAGATAGGAGGACTCAGCAAGGCCACCGGAGGAGCCAGTCTGCTGCCGGCCAGGAGCCAGCCCACCTTCTGCAGTGGGCTGTCATGTGAAGAAGCCTTGAAGTATGTGGGGGAAGAAGAGATGGAAGCCAGTGAGAAAGAGCAGGGGAATGTGCCTGACTTGGGGTCTATAATTCACGCCACAGATTTGGGGAAGTAACCCAGAAACTCAATATGGCCCAGCCTCCTGCTTTGTATGATCCCTCAAATAAGGATTGAGAAAAAGAAAGGGAGGGAGGGAGGGAAGGAAAGAAGGAAGTTAGGCCCCTCTCCATGGCACTGCACACCTCCTTATTCTACAGTCTGTGTATACCTTGTGGGTCCTATACTGCTGTTGGGACAGCTACTGATTGTGTGGGACAAGGAGGCAGGACTTTTCAGAGAAAGGGTCCTGAGTAGCGGTAGAGACAAGTCCTACAACAGCCCTGGCCAGTCACGTGGGAGCCTATAGAGTGGGAAGGAGGCATTGCTCATCATGCCTCCTCCTGAACACAAAAAGCACCCAATAGACACACTGCTGTGATTCTGAGCAGATTCTCTGAACCCCTTGCATCTCCCATCAGCACCCCAGTAAATAGAATCTCCCCTTCATGGGTCTCACAAATGGAAGGCTGAAACGCTCTAGCTCTGAAATCAACCATTTCCGTGTCATTGCCAGGACAAATTGTGGCTCCCAGAGGAGAGAAACACATCAGAGGCGAACCCCAGCTTCAGCTAGGCTCATTTCTCTGCAGAGCCCCTCCCTCTCTGGACCCCGCCAGCTGCACTTGCTCCAAAATCCTGCACTTCAGCTGCCACCGAGGATAGGATTCCAGCTGGCTTCTGCCTGGCAGTAGGAGGCAGAGGCTGGCTGGCTTCCTCTGAGGTGGAAGGACATCTGGGGGCAAGTGGGGCTTGTGCCAAATACCCAGGTAAGTTCAAGACTAAGATAAGCCAGGGGTAGGGGCTAAATTCCTTCCTGTGCCTTTGATTCTGACTGGCAGTGGGGGAGGGTAAGGCCTCCAGGCTGTGACTCAAACGGACCCTGTCACCTTTATCCTATCACCCTCCTACCTCCTGTATTCCTCTTACATGCGGGGTGGCGGCGCCTCCTACCAAGCAGGCCCTGAACACCGGATGTGGTGGGAGGGTGTGTTTAGGGTGGCTGCTGCAAGTCACACAGTGACAGCTCTACCCTAGGAGACTGACTGGCACTTTTTAAGGCCTAAAATAACAAAAACGCAGGTTATCACCTGCAGAGGAGCCTAGATAACCCTCTACAGGCCTCCTGCAGTCCTATGCATACCCTTTCCAGAGATCCTCCGCTAGCAGGTCACAGCTCCTCCTCTTCTTCAGTTAGAGACCCTGCCTCCATGAAGCCCTACCCCCCCCCCCCCCCCCCCCCC